TGACGTTACAGTATAAGTTCTCTGGTTTTTGTAGAAAAAGGATTTTCAAACTTCTTCCTAGTGTACTGCTAGCATTGATATCTCCCCAGGGCATTTCAACGAGTGTTAACCAACACTATTTAGACCTTCTGATACTTTTACATCAGAACTTCTACCAGTCCAGCAAGGGAAGAGAGCAACGAGGGTCAGTCCCTGGCTGGAACTCAAGCTCTTTGACCTGGAAGTGATCCGTGTCATTCATCATGGTAGCCATTTGAGGCTTGTGAGTTTCTGGATTCAAGGTTTAGACATCACCAGATTTTATTGAAGACAAAGTTAGAAGGCTTTGGGGGAACTCAGTTGCCAGAGTTCCCCCAAGGAATGAAAGAATATATCAAACTCTATCTAAAATGTTTCTTGTGTGCTTACTTGGGGTAAACTTGTACCATGTCTTCCTTGGGGCCATACTAACATTTGTAGTCACATCTTGGTATTGTCATTTCTGTTTATACTCAGATGTCTTTTTCTGTGCTTCTTTAGAAATCATCTGTCACCAGCCTTCTATTCCAAAGGGAATATTTCTCTCTGGCTTTGGATTCTTCTATGCGTACAAAGACAGTCTTGTGGTTAACTGCAAGAAAGGTTACATCCTCAGGGGCAGCAGTGTGATCCACTGTGAAGCGAATGGCAAATGGTATCCTTCTGTTCCCACCTGTGAGCCCAGTAAGTATGGACTATAAACAAGCTACCACAGTTTTACCTGTAGTGACATTTAAAAGCATGGTGGCAGCATGCTCGTAGGCACAAGCCCACTTTAATTCCAACAATCATGTACACCGAATATACACTTCTCCCAGTTTCTTGTTAGAAATAAAGCTTTTAGTAGACTTTTAGCATTATTTGAAATATTTTTTATATCTCATACACTTCTCATACGAGTAACTTCGCTGATGTAGTAGATTATCAAATATTTGTTACAAAAGTTTTTATGTAGGTAAAATTTTCATGGCAAAGTTCCTCATCCTAACAAAATCCACAAATTATGAATTTTTTTGGAAGATGAAAGTAAAATTCATTTCCGATAGCTCCTTTTTGTAATTTGCCCATAGGTGCTCTATGAGCCAACATCTAACATTGTAAATATGTGCAGAGCACCCCAACCTTAATTGCACTTATTGCTAAAAGTTTATTTAAACCTTCCTACACATGGAACACTGTTCTAAGAGTTTTACATTAATTAAATCATTTAATGTTTATTTTAGGCCTAAGATATAGCTACTCTTTTTAAGACATTACAGGGATGAGAACACAGGAGCAGCAACATTAACTATCACAAGTTCACATAGTTAATTAGTGGGTAAACCACTACACATCATGACTTATCTATTCCTTTCTGTCTTGACAAGAATTTAGGTATTATTTAAATGTGTAATGATAAAGTTTAATACATAAGTAGCTTAATAGACATGTGTCCTCCCCCTTTAATCTGCACAAACCATTAATATATGATTGAGTAGACAAAAAAATGCAATACCGAAGACTCATATGCAAGTATTACAAGGGGCTTTGCGTGAGGCCAGTTCTGCAGTTCTAGGTGGTGATGGCGAGGGAAATGTCTCTTATTTTCATTCCCTACTTAGGAAAGATATCTGAAAGTCAATATCATCATGTGGCAATGGTCTTAATGCCTCCCTCCCCTGAAGATGGGCCACGCTATGTACAGTGATGTTGAAGCAGAAATAAGGTGCCATATGGTTGGGCTAACACTTGAGATGGTCTGCTACCTGCACCATGCCTTGTCCCTGGTGACAGCCTCCCCAGAGCTGCAGGGGTTTGGTGCTCCAGATTAGTCTATAGACTAATGGCCAGGGAGGTGCCGAGTCTTCTTAGGGTTCCCAATTTGTCTCTGTCGTCTGGCTTCTTGCTGAATGAATATAATGTTCTTTTTGTAACAGTGTAATGGCTTGTTCTGCTAGTTCTACTAACAGTTTTCTGTCCCTTCCTGGTCTTCTGTTCAGATGGTTGTGTTGACTTACCAGAAGTCCCCTATGTTTCCTGGGAGAGAACTATGCTTAGCCTAAGGAATCAAGAAATATTTGAGATTGGAACACAGGTGAAATATCAGTGCAAGACTGGTTATCGACCAACTCCAGATGAGCCTCAGACTGCCACTTGTCAGGAAAATTTAAAGTGGGCAGTTTCCAAAGGGTGTGAAAGTAAGATCACTTGAATGTTTTTGTATAGTGTTTGTGTCTGTTTTTCTATTGAAAGTGTGGAGAACAGTCCTTGAATTTTCTGGAACTTGCTGCTTGGAGCACCGTATAGAAATTTTTGGAAATGTTCAATGTGTGCTGAAAATATACATATTTTGAAATTATTGGTTTTAATATTTCATGTATATCAATTAGATCCAATTTGTTTCAATGATGTTTCAATATATAGCTTTATTTTTATTGACTATTTGCACTGAGAACTATAGAGAATGACTTATTTCATTATGAATTATTTTGTTACCTTTTAAGTTTCTTTTATTTATTATTGTTACTTTTGTATTTTAGTAAGGGTCTGCAGGGTCTCATTATGCAGATTGGACTCAAAGTGATTTTCCTGTTTTCAGCCTCCCAAGTGCTGAAATTACAGGCTTAAGTTTATTTTAAACCGTTTTTCTTTTCCTATTTTGAGATTTTTTTCCATAATTTTATTAAGAAACAAATAGCAATGAGACAGTTTCAAATCAAATTGGTAGGACAGTTTCAATAATTAACACATTGCATACTCTCTTCCCAGTGGTTATTTGCTGTGCAAGATGCAGACATGATATCCTATTTACAAACACTATTAGAACAAATCCCTCTATTCACTAAGAGAATGTAACTATATATCTATCCTAACCATTTTGAATACACAGATACAAAATGGACATTCATCTGTATCCCCTTTTTTGCTTAGTTCCATCATTTGAATATTATAGATGTGTTAACTCAGCAAAATATTTTAAAAGAGTCCAGTAGTCCATAATAGTATTGGGTCTTCCGCTTGACTGGCAATGTCAGAAATTGTTGACCTGAGTTCCCTGCAGCTCAACAAAACAGCATGGCTTTACTTCTCATACTTCATTTTTATACTTTTCTGCTGGATGGTTAAAACCATTTTGAAATATTATAAAATGCATACAAGTTTAGAAATATATTTTTCACTTGTGAGTTTAATCTTTAATTACTGTGAAGTGACTATCATTGCAATTATTTTATCTTTAAGTTCTAGTTTTGTGTTAATATAGATCAGTCTTATTGAGTTTGTTTGCATAGTTTATTGTTTTTAGTCTCTTAACTTTTAATTTTGTATTTTAAATGTATTTCAGAAGTGTAAATATTTTGGCATTATTTTATCATTTTCATAATTTATTTTTTTAAAGAGGAAAAAACAATGATACAGAATTCTAAAGCACAATAATTGTAGATTAACATAGGTTAATATGTTGCATATTGTTATCTTCAAAATAATGGCTCAGATTACAAGAGATAGGCATGAAAAATTAATCAGACAATATAAGCACAAACCATTCTTTTTGATGAACTAGTAGAAATTAGTAGTAAAATTATCTTAGCTCTATCTATCAGTCGGTCTGTTTATCCATCTATCCTTTTTCCTTCTTTCTTTTCTCCTTTTCCCCTTCCCAGTTGTTCTTATCTTTTGAGCAGTTTCCTTTCTGCCACAGTATCTATTGTACATTTTTGATCTTATTATTTAC